TACATATTTAGTAAACATTTTCCTTAAGAATTTCATGATTTTTTTAGCTATTGTAAGTGGTATGTTTTTTTAATATTTCATCTTCCACTTGTTCATATATAGAAATAAAATTGATTTTTGAATATCAACTCTCTGTCCAGCAACCTTGTTAATTTTACTTATTGGTATAGAAGCTCTCATGAAGATTCCAGGGGATTTCTGTGATTGGATTGTAGGACTTTTGACCTCTGAGCTCAGGTGAAATTTATCGCCTTTCTTTTTGAAACTTCATCAAAGTGAACATTGGTACTGGTATTTTATATACATTTTTTTTCATGTACTAGTAAAGGTGAATTTTTTTATATGTTTTAAAGTACTTACTTGGTTCCCTCACCTTTTTTTCTATATTAGAAGCTTTGCCAGTTGTGTTGTGAGGGCTCCGTATATCTTAAGTACTCTTTGCCTTTCATTAAAGGTGTATCTCTGTTCCCAGTTTGTCATTTGTCTTTTAATTTCATTCATGCTGTTGCATCACTGTGAATATTTATAGTTTATGTGGAGTATCTGCCAATTACTTTTTCATATGGCCTCTCTATTTTTAGTGCTTGAAAGCTTTTTGGTTGGGGGTTGGGCTTCAAGTTGGGTTTTTTTGTAGTAATTATGATAAGAGATCAGAATCTAGTTTTATTTTTAAGTAGTTAGCCAACTGTATCAGGTGCATCAGATGAAAATCATATTTTTTTCCCCCACTGATTAGGGTCCTGTTTTTACTTATAGATTTTTTTCCATAAGTAAAATTTATTAGTTAATTTTTTACATATTACCAAATTTTGTTTCTGAACTTTTTCTTCTCTTCTCTGTTGGCCTGTTTTTGTTCCACAGCCACATTTCTGATATTGAAGCTCTTTTCTAAAATGATCACCCTACTAACTTGTTAAACATTTTCTTGCAATCCTTTCTATGTCACTAATATTACTGATTACTCATACCACCATAAAGTGATTGATGCATACTTAGAATTTTTCTAATTGAAATCATATTATTTTTTGTTTTATCATAGTTAAGTATAGCCACAGTTAATAACAAGCTGATTTTTTTTTAAACCGAATTTTTTTAAAAAAAGAAAGAGCAACTCATCATTAGATAAGCAAGCATCTTCTCAACATTGCTAATTATTGTTGTTGTTTAGTCTCTAAGTTGTGTCTGACTCAATCCCACCAGGCTCCTCTGTCCATGGGATTTCCCAGGCAAGAATACTGGAGTGGTTACCATTTCCTTCTCTAGGCATTCTCAACCCAGGGATCGAATTCATGTCTCCTGCATTGGCACATGGACTCATTACCACTGAGCCACCAGGGAAGCCCTAAGCTAATTATTAGGGAAATGCAAATCAAAACTGCAGTGAGGTTCCCACCTCACACTGGTCAGAATGGTCATCATTAAAAAATCTACAAATAATAAATGCTGGAGAGCGTGTGGAGAAAATGGAACCCTCCTACCCTGTTGGTGGGAATGCAAGCTTGTGCAGCCACTGTAAAAAATATAGTGGAAAAAAATGTATGGAAACATATGGAGGGTCCTCAGAAAACTAAAAATAGAACTGCCATATGGTTCAGCAATTCTACTCCTGGAAATATAAACCTAGACAAAGCTATAGTTCAAAAAGATATATGCACCCTGGTGTTCATAGCAGGACTGTTCACAATAGCCAAAACATGGAAACAACCTAAATGTCCTTGGACAGATAAATGGATAAAGAAGATGTGGTACATGTATACAATGAAATACTACTCAGCCATAAGAAAAAAAAATGGAATATTGCCATTTGCAGCAACATGGATGCAACTAGAGATTACCATACTAAGTGAGTCAGAAAGAGAAAGACAAATACCGTATGATATGATATGTAGAATCTAAAAAAATGGCACAAATGAACCTATCTACAAAATACAGACTCACAGACATAGAGTACAGACTTGTGGTTGGGGAGGGATGGAGGGAGAGGGCTGAACTGAGATTTTGGGATTGGTAGATTCAAACTCTTACATTTAGAATGGATAAACAAGGTCCCACTGTATAGCACTGGGAACTATATTCAGTATCCTGTGATAAACCTTTATGGAAAAGTATGTAAAAAAAAGGAATGCATATTTGTGTATAACTGAGCCCGTACAGCAGGAACTGGCACAACATTGTAAATCAACTATACTTCAGTGAAAACTAGCATAAATAAATAAATAAGTGGACCTCTTAAGACAAAACCCAACTGACCAATAAATCCACAAAGAGATGTTCATTGAGGTAAGGGGAGTTACACTGCTATGATTGCCTCTTACCCACAGTGTTGCTAGAACCTTAGATTTTTCACAATACCCAGTGTTTTGGCAAAGGTGTATGGAAATAGGCATGCCACTGGGTTGCCAGTGGGAATATCCTTTAGGTACTCTACCTGAAAACCAATGTGGAAATACTTAATATTAGTCAAAATGTGTGTTCCCATGGCTCCCTCTGCACACATACTCTGGAGACACTCTTATACATGGACGAGGTGACAGATGAGAACTTACAGAACAATGCTGTCATTTCATGATATATTCATATGTACTGGGAGTTCGAAAGACATGCATAGAATATTAAACACCAATTCCATAGTGAAGCCTCCTTCTAGGAAGGTTTAGTGGTGGGACATTCATTTTTACATACATCTCCAATGATTTACTAGAAATAGAATTATTAGATCACAGGGTATCCTTCTGCTAGTTCAGGTGTTCATTTCTCCCAATTGTGTATAAAGGCCTACTTTTCTACATCCTGAAGTACCTAGGGGAGAATCACACTTCATTTTTTCTAATCAAATGGATTTGGGCAAAAAAAAAAATCATAAATAAGTAATTGTAAGCATACACCTATGGTTATATGAACATAAGACGGTTGAGTTTTATTTATATTTGGATGATTGACATTTTAAGGCAATGCATGTTTAGAAAGACTTCTCGGGGCCTATTAGAAAGCTTTAACCCAGCAAATTCCAATCTTGACTTCTTGTCACAGTTACCTGTATAACTCTTCATGGTTGAAAGGATAATGCTATTTCATAATTCAGAAGATGCTTATTGAACCAGTGTTGTTTCTTGGGTGTTGTAGAACAGTTTCTTGCCCATGGCTCTGTTGACATTTTGGCTGGATAATTCTTTGTCACGTTGGCTGTCTGGGCCACCACCGCCCAAGGATATGTTAGGCGGCATCCTTGGCCTTCGCCCCCTCAATGCCAGTAATGCCCACCCCTCAGTGGTGACAAAAATGTCTCCACATTGCCAGACATCCTGTGAGCACAGAGTCAGTTCCCCTTGGTTGAGAACCACTGTGCTAAAAAAAAAAAAAAAAAAATTGTACTGATGTAGGAGAATAACTTTTTAGTAGGAGATTCACATTGATGCATGTTGGGATGAAACGTACTGTGGACAAAATGTTAATTTATTGACTCTAGCTGCAGAGTTGTATATCTTTCATGTTTATTGTATTACTCTGTTTTCTCTAGGCTTAATTTGAAAAATTAAAAAGTGTGTATCTGGCTGGGAGGAAGGGTCCTAAGATACTGGAGGAGATTCACTGAAAACTCTCCTGGAACTCCCCTGGTGGTCCAGTTTTTAAGATTCCTTGCTTCTAATGCAGGATACATGGGTTCAATCCCTGTTCAGGCAATTAAAATCCCACATACTGCATGGTCAAAAACAGAAAACTAACAAAAATTCTCCTTACCCAGCCTTTCCCATGCCCCTTCTTCCTGGCACCTGGCCCCAAGGCAACCATATGGCTATACTGGTAATATTTTGAAGTCTTTTCCAGTTAAATGTATAAAGGACTTTTTTTAAAAAAAACCCAAAAAAAAATTTAATTTAAAAGCCTTGGGAATAAAAACCCTTGCAAAAAATACGTGCACGTTAAGCCAGTGTATAGTGACATGCTTAATAGAAATGTATTTATGTATTTCTGTTCTGGAATTAGAAGGTGCAAACAGAAATGTCAACTAGACCAGTAATTGTCCATCTTTCACATTTTACATCTCCCAACTATTCTGTGAAATGATCAAGGTTCCAGATTACTACAAACAAAATGAGTAATTTTTCAGTGACATTTACGTTTGCCATTAATCTATTGTCGTATTAGTATTTACAGGAAATTTGAGAACCTAGCATCATGCTCTAACTGGCAAAGAATTGTAATTCCATACTGTAAATGACTTCTTTATTTTTATGGTTTCTTGATATTATGTGGATGTGCCATCATGTCACAAATCAAAGTTAATTTTTGATACATTCCCATGGTTCATGACACAAAGTATAAGAAAAGTTACAATATTACAATATTACACTTATCTGGGAAGTCCTAGCTCACTCTGCAGAAGCAGCCAATGGTCAAGACTTCTAGGTAGAATCTAGACCATCTTTGCCCAGATGCTTTTTGCATGTAACAATACACCTTAGAGGGCTTCCTACTCAGGACAGATAAGCTCTTATTTTTTTCTAATACTGGTGGTTATGCCTTATAGGATATCCTGCAGCATACGTAAACAGTCTTCTGTTGAGCATAAATGTTGTTTTCACCTTTATCATCACCAGTGCTGCAGCAGAGGAGCTCATATAGATCCCATGCTCCTCATGTGCAGAATAAACTCTAGAACTGGGATCTCTGCATTACATTAATCATATGGAGACATTCTACATTTGCCTGTTTGGGGTTGTAGATACGCAGCCTCTCCAGCGCTGTGTAGGAAGACCTGTCCTACACATCCTTGGCCACCCTGTGAGGTATCCACTGTTTGGATTCTGCTGAACCATATACATCTGAGGGTGAATCTCAGGCTAGAACTGGGGAGACTGTGAGCTCTGCAGCAGCATCTCTGCTTTGTCTTTCTCCCAGCTGTATAAGTTGCTAGGGGCTCTGCCTCAGACTCATCTTCCTTCCCGCATCCCTCCCCTAGCTTATGCCTGGATTGAAGTGTACTTGTTCTGTGGTTTCAGAACCGGGTTTCTCCTTTCAAGGATATGATCTTCTGCTTCTCAGAAGAGGACTGGTCCCTTCTAGACCCTGCCCAGACTGGCTTCTACGGAGAGTTCATCATTGGAGAAGACTGTGGGGTCTCACTGCCTGCAAGTAAGACTTAACTCAGCTCTCTCCTGAGACCAGGGACGTGGGCTCCACATCTTAGCTCACTGTTCACCCCCACACCCTAACGGGAGGCACCTGTGCACAGTGGTGCCAGGGCCACTCTGCAGATTAACCATTGCCTGGTGCTATCATGTGAAAGTTAGGCTTGTTACCTGACTGTTTTACATACACAACCAAATATTGTATCCCTTGTATCCCTTACATTTGCTCTTCTATCGTTCTTACTCTGACTCTTTTCATTGCTGGTTTTCTGGTAGGCCTGAAAGAGTTATCCCAAGCCCACAGCTTCCCCCTAGTGTCCACTCCCCTGCCCTCTCCCGGCCTGCCCTGGCCCTTCCACTTTCCCTGCATGGCCCCTGTTGGTGGTCTTGGTGTGTTGTGCGTCCCTCCAACTTCTCTCTCCTCTACTGTCTCAGAGTCACCACTGTCCTCCCGCTTTGGTTTCCTGCGGGAGCAGAGGCCTGATGAATGCATATCCTTCCCTTTTCTGTGAATAGATGATGCAGCTGCCCAGCTGGATCTCTCCCAGGGAGAAGAGAATGAGCCACGTGTTCCAGAGTTGCAGGACTTCCAGGGGAAGGACATGTCCCAGGTCTCCTACTTGGGTGAGGAATGATACCAGAACTCAGTGGAATGCAAGGCTGCTACCGGCCAGAGGCAGGCCTGCTCCTTCTCCCACTCTCTGAGCCCTCTATCACCCCCAGACCATGTCTTGGTAGAATGAGTCCTGCCTCATCCCTCATTCCTTACAGAAAAAATGTGGTATTTCAGTTTTCCCAGGTGTGGGGATTGCCCTCTTTCAACCAGGAACTAGGATATGATAGAAGTATCTTTCTCCCTGCTGTAAGTAACACCTGGCTTGTGGTAACAATGCAGTGACCACTTTATAAGTAAGGTCAGATGCTCTCCAAAAGTCAGGTGGGAGAGGAGGAGGGCATGCCACCTCTGGCTGGGCATTGGGCACAGTGCCTCTGGATGCCTCACCTGTCTTCTTCCAGCCACATACTGCAGGTAGTGTAAGGAAACTGAGGCTTGGGGAGGTGCTGGGGTTTGGTTGACGAGCCACAGCTCAGCAGCAGCATTTCCCACCCCCTACCCCCACCCCCAGCTTTCCATGTCACCAGAGCTTGTGTTTGTAACCACTGTGCTTTAATGCCTTAAGACGCCTGCTTCTTCAGGGGAAAAGCTTTGTACCATGCCAGCAGTACCCCCAGGCCTCCTTTCTCTTAGGACTTTGAGCTGGCACAGAGCAGATCAGTATTTCACTCGCCACCCCCACCTGAAAAAAGCAACCAGGGCCTCTGGTGTGCTCAGTTTCCCATCCCATCTCTGCCCCAGCAGACTGTCCAGGCTGTGCTTATGCAGTGTCTGTGTGGAGTACTGGAAATCCCACCACAGAAAGTGAAAATGACTGCATGGATGCCAGTTACTTGTCCACAGTCAAGTGGATGGGGCAGAACCCAGATCCACGTTCATTCCATCTAGCTTCAAAACCCATGTTCATGGTGTTGGCCCATTTTGCCTGCAGGTTTATTTGCTCATCAGACATTAATTTACTGAGTGACTGCCCTGAGAGGGAGCCCAGGCCTGCTCTCGCATCACAGCCTGGCATCTCTTAAGATGCCTCTTCCAGGTAGTGCTGCAGCAGCAGGAAAAATGAATTTTTCATTTTCTTCTCTGGAAAGACTTTCCAAGTCTCCAGCCAATCCAGGTAGAAGAAAGAAGAAAGCGGGATGAGCTGCAGGTGCCAGAGTTCCAGACAAGCCAGCAGACAGTGCTCCCTCAAAGCACCTGCCCAGGTAAAGGAATTCTTAGGAGGCTGTGGGGGTGGGTGCACCTGTGTGTGATGAGTGGCTTGAGTGTGTATGTGTGTAGTATGTGTGTGCATGTAGCATGCGGGTATGATGTGTACATGTGTATGTGTGTGCATGAATGTGGTAGTGGTATATATGGTGTATATGTATGTAGTATGTTTGGTGTGTGAGTGTGTACATGTGTAGGGTATATGGCATGTGTTATATACATGTGAGCATGCCTGCGGGCATTTGTGTATGTGGTACATATATGTTTATATAATGTCTGCTGTGCTGTGTGTGTGAAATTGTGCGTGTGTGGTTATGTGCATGCATATGTGTTGTGTATGTATATACGTCTCTGGGGATGGTGTAGGTTTAGGAATTGAACTTTCTGAAATTTCTGCTGACAGTTCCTGAGAGTTCCTGAGGCTGCTTGCCCTAGGTTTGTTTTTCTAGGATCTTTTCCAGCTGACTCCCAGTGTGAGGCCCTCCCCTCCATGCCTTTCTCTTGTGGGTTGGTTGAGGCAGGGTGCTGGCAGAGTGCTTTTGGACACATGGTCTGTGTATTTCTTTTCTGTGCATATAAGACCAGAGTCCCTGGACAGTGTTGCAATTAAAGAACAGGTTAGCAGAATGCTAAAAGGAGGACCACTGGAGAGTGTGCCCAGCACCATTTAGACTCTGAGTCTCTAGTCTTTACTTAAATCCACTGTGTCACAGAGGGTTTTTTGCAAATACAGTGACTCATGCACAATTTGATACCTTTCAGAGGCAAGATTTGCATGATGTTCTGGTATTTCCACCTAGTATCATGCAGAGTTCACAGTCATTTGTATTCACCCCCTATCCTGTGTAGACTAAAGGGATTTTCTGTTTTTGTAAATCTACAGCAGATCTAGGTTGAGAGTACTCCCTCCCCACAAGCTTTGATGCCCTGGTTTTCTGAGGAGCCTGCTTCTGCATGCCGAGGGTGATCGTCCCTGTGTGGCTCATTCCCAGTTCAGCTTGATTCTCAAGACGAATTTTGAATCCTCTCTGCTTCTGCCTGCTCACAGGAGGTCTCAGCCCTGGCAGCATACTTACAGAATGTGGATTTTCATTACCACAGGGGAGTTTTCACTCTCCCATTGCTGAGCTCTGATACTGAATCTATTTTGAAATGACAAGAAGTTAAGGGTTGCTATCTATCTAAAATCAGTGAGAGATGATAAATTGCATAGAATAGGCACCATTTTTATTTTGGTAGTTCTTCCCACACCTTCTCACAGCAGGTGAAGGGTCTGCATAGCCACATCCACGCTCACAAAGGACCCTTCCAACCAGTTCCATTTGTGTCAGTCCAACCAGCACGTTATAATGCTACCACTGAGACTGAATATCTTTTCTTGTTTATTGTGTTTTTGCTGTGAATTGCCTAGTGAATACTTCCCCCTTCACATTTGATAAGCTCTGTGTCTTTATGTCCCAAGCACTGCAGCAGTATAAGGTCTTTACATGATTATATTCATGTATCTTTATGTACCTTCTGAGGTAGATATCATCTTAGTCAGCACAGGCTACTAGATCAGAATAGCAAAGAGATATGTTCTGTTAAACAGTATAAATTTATTTCTCAAGTTCTGGAGGTTGAGAAGTGTGAGGTCAGGTCACCAGCAGATTCAGTGTATGGTGAGGACTCTTCCTGGCTTGTAGTTGGCTTCCTTTTCCCTAATGTGCTCACATGACCTTTCCTTGGTACACAGAACTCTTGTCTCCTCTTCTTATAAAAGTACTAATCCCATCACAAAAGTCCCACCTTCAAGATCTCATATAAACCTAATTACCTTCCAAAGACCCCACTTCACAAACCATCACATTGGGAATTAGTGCTTCAACATAAAAATTTTGGAAGGACACAAATCCTTGGCCCATAGTATCAGACTGAGGATTTGAACCCATGTGATTAAGAGACACCATTCTCTTTATTCCATATCTGCTTGTCCTTTCCGTGAATTGCCTCCTAAGTGCATGCGTGCGTGCTCAATCACTTCAGTTGTGTCCGAGTCTTTGCGACACCATGGACTATAGCTCGCCAGGCTCCTCTGCCCATGGGATTCTCCAGGCAAGAATACTAGTGTGGGTTGTCATGCCCTTCTTGAGGGGATCGTCCCAACCCAGGATCTATCCTGCATGTCCTGTGTCTCCTGCATTGCAGGTGGATTCTTTACTGCAGAGCCATTGGGGAAACCTTGTACTAATTATTTGTACATAATTCTTACTACTTTTTAACTTTCTTTATGTGTCTTTTAGCACATAATTTTTTAAAATTATTTATTTATTTATTTTTGATTGCACTGGATCTTTGTTGCTGCTTGCCAGCTTTCTCTAGTTACAATGAGCAGGGACTACTCATCACTGTGGTGCGTGGGCTTCTCATTGCGGTGACCTTTCTTGTTGTGGAGCATGGGCTCTAGGCACTCAGGCTTCAGTAGCTGTGGCGCATGGGATTAGTTACCCTGTGACAACATGTAGGATCTTCCTGGAGAAGGGGTCAAGCCTGTGTCCCCCACATTAGTAGGCGGTTTCTTAACCACTGGACTACCAGGGAAGTCTGCACATAAATGTTCTTTTAAAAAACATTTTAAATATGTCAATACAGTTATTCATCTCTTTTTTGTGTATCTTGCTTAAGAAATCCTCCCGATCCTAACGTTATAAGGATATATTTGTTATGATGTCTTTATTTACTTATTTTTTTTACATATATTTTCATATCCTCTTGCTTCTCTCCTTAGCACCTCCAGCTGGCAGGAAATGATTTATTCCCAGGCCACAGCTTGCTCTTCTTGAGGAGTTAGCCTTCAACCTGGTTATGAGCTTTTTGCTCTTAAAAATACAAAGCAGCCTTTGTTCCCTGGCCTTGGAAGAGCATGGTCGTAGTCTTAGGTACACACCCCTACCCCCACCCCCAGTTAAGTGCAGTTCCCCTGAACCTTGGGCTATTTTATCTCTGTTTTACATTTTTCTCCTGTAAGATAAGAGATAATAGTCAAGTCTACCTTATGGGGTTATTGTTGAAGATTGATACAATACAGGTAAAAGCACTTACAGCTAATAATTTTCCCTGTTTTCTCTACTGTTATCCTAACAGTTAGTTTAGCTTCTCTCTTGCCCTGCACCTTCCCACATCACCCATATTTATCTCAGTGCTGAGCTGAGACATCCCTAGTGTTACTCTTTCTCTGCAGTGTTACGGACACACCTCTGTAAGTCTTATCTCATCTACTAGAAATTCTTTACACTGTTGTGTCAGTGGCACACAGCAACATTATTGTTGAATTATTTCCCCCTTTTTAGAAACTGTGCATCCATTTTTAGTCACTTCATCTGATTTCAGGGGCTGTCTTCCCATATGTGGGCTTCCCAGGTGGCACTAGTGATAAGGAAACCATCTGCCAATGCAGGAGACCTAAGGCATGCAGGTTTGATCCCTGGGTTTAGAAGATCCCCTAAAGGAGGACATGGCAACCCACTCCAGTATTCTCGCCTGAAAAATCACGTGGACAGAAGAGCCTGTGGGCTACAGTCCACAGTGTTGCAAAGAGTTGGACATGACTGAAGCGACTTAGCACACATGCATGAATCCCATATGTACTATATTAGTCTCCTAGGAATGATATAATAAAGTACCACAGACTGGGAGGCTCAAACAACAGAAATTGATTTTCTCAACATTGTGGAGGCTTAGAAGATTGAGATCAAGTTTTCAGTAGAGAGGTTTCTCCTGCGGCCTCTCCTCTTGGCTTGCAGACAGCTGTCTTCTCCCTGTGTCTTCTCATGGTCATCTCTCTGTATTTTTATGTCCTAATCTCTTCTTCCAAGAGGTCTCTTGCATATTATCTTTTGAAAGATCTTATCTCCAAATATAGTCACATTCTTGATTACTGGGGGTTAAGACTTCACCTTCTGTTCCCCCATAATCCATACTTCTTGTTCCCCTTTACCCTCTGTTCTCCCATAATTCATACTTCTCATATGCAAAATACATCCATTCTATCCCAATATCCCTTAATCTATTCCAGCATCAACTCTAAGTCCATAATTTAATCTAAATATCATCTAAATCAAAATTGAGTGAGATTCAGGGTATTGTCGCTTCCAACTGTGAATTTGTAAATCCAGACATCAAGTTCAGTGCTTCCAAAGTGAAATGGTGAGACAGGCATAGAGTAGACACTCTCATTCCAAAAAGAAGAAAGACTGATGGTTCCCAACAAAATGTGAATCCTAACAGGGCAAATTCCATTAGATTTTAGGGTTTGAGATTCATCTTTGGCTCAGTGCTATGTCCACCCTGTGAACCTGTGGATGCAGTGGCAGTTCTGTCAACCTCTGAACTGCCTTTGGGGCTGTCTTCCTTTTCTTTCAAGGATAATCCATGTTTGCATCCAGATAGCTCTATTAGTTTGTTCTAGAAGTTTGATAGAGGTAATAGTGTTAGCCGCTCAGTCTAATCCAACTCTTTGACCCCATGGACTGTCTGAATGCCTTCCTTTAATCCATCTTCTTTCCTTTTTATTCCAAGATGGATATTCTCAGAAACACTGTTGGCCTCCTGTGAAATTAGAAGGGTCCAGGCCATCAGACAAGAGGGTCCTCTACAGACCATTCCTGGATTATCTCATCTCCACTCTTGGCTTCTTAGATGATCAATAGGATCCGTGGTTGTCCTGCCACGCCCTTGGTATTCTCTCCAGAACATACTTTCTCATTTTTTGCAGGAAGATAGACTGAAAATTTTCTGAATCTTCATGTCTTCCCTTCCTACTCCCCCATCTCACGTTGTACCCAGTCCCCTCACACTTGTGCTCTGATGTATGAGTAAATACCCACATAGACTCTGCCACTGCCCAGTGTCTCCTGCTTGCTACGGTATTGGGTCTTCCTGCTATGTTCTGTCCAGTTTCACCTGCCCTCACTTCCCTAAGCAGCCGGAACTCTCCTCCTTCCAGCAATTAAGTCCAGAATAACCATATTATTATTATTGTATAAAAGGACCTGGCACCACTATCCCCCACCCCTGTTTTAGAGCTGAGCCCCCCATTTCACAAAAATAAGGAAACGGCTGTAAGGAGAGCTGTGTAATGGGCTCTGGGCTGCAGGCAAGGACCTCATATCAGGGTCCCCACTGCCCACCCAATTCCTCCCCACAGTACATCTCCAACATCAGAGACTCAAGATCCATTGAGTCAGCTTCAGTTAGTTTATAAAGTCCAGTGCATCTTTATGCATTACCACTAGTGGCTGTTGGTTGGCCTCTGATAGGATACTAAGAGGGAGAGATGACCTTGGATAATCTGGGGCCTTTGAACAGCCCTACCATCACAGCAGGGCTCAATATCACTAGCCCTGAGCCCTTAAGCATGTGACCTGAGTTTGCCTATGTTTATAATGGCAAGTAGTACATCATTGGCTTGTGTCCAGGATCAAATGGGCTTGTGCATGTCAGAAGTCTTGTACAGCCCCTGGGGAATTTAAGTGCCTAGCATATAGTAGCTGGCAGCCTCCAGTCACTGTTTCTAGAATACAGGACCCTTCTCTGTCTCAAGGCTTTTAATGCACCCTGACAATTTTTCCCTTGTCTGATTAAGAAAGGCAGAGTTAAGTGATGTGTAAATGGTCAAGGCTTACACGGATAGATACAACGTCTTAGAGCTTGGAGGGGTCTCAGTGGCTAGAAAAGAAATAAAGAAAAGGACTGGGTCTGGGGATTTAGGAGAAAAAGATAGAAAGAAAAAGGTATGCAGAATGGGTTAGAAGCGTGGCCTGTGTGCTAAGGGATTCCTTCTCACAAGACATACCACAGAGATACCTGCAGGGGAAGATTCCTTACAAAAATGTGGGTTTCTGGACCCACAAGGAACCTCCTTGGGTAGGATTTGCAGGGGCTCGGGTGTGGCCTGGGCAGCACCACTGACCACCTCGTTGCCTTCTGGTAGTGGGAGGTGATGCGCCATTCCCTGAGAACAGCCTGGATGAGGAGGTGACGATCGAGATTGTGCTGTCCAGCTCCGGAGATGAGGATTCCCAACTCGGCCCCTACTGCACAGACGAGCCGCGGAGCCCCACGGAGAAGCAGCCCAGCCTCCCCACCTCCCACCGGAGCGGCATTGAGGCAGCGGGTGAGGTGCAGACCTCCTCTAAAAAGTCCTACGTGTGCCCTAACTGTGGCAAAATTTTCCGCTGGAGGGTCAACTTCATCCGACACCTGCGGAGCCGCAGGGAGCAGGAGAAGCCACATGAGTGCTCGGTGTGTGGGGAGCTGTTCAGTGATAGCGAGGACCTAGATGGGCACCTGGAGACCCATGAGGTCCAGAAACCGTTTAGGTGCGGTGCTTGTGGGAAGAGCTTCCGCCTCAACTCCCACCTGCTCTCACACAGGCGGATACACTTGCAGCCAGACGGACTCGAGTTAGTGAAGAAGAGAGAACAGGAGGCGTCAGGGACCACGGGTGGGGATTCTGACGACCCGCTGACAAAGGGCAAGGCCAAGCTACGCTGCCAGTGCTGCGATTGCGGGAAGGTGTTCCAGCGGCCTGAGCACCTGGCCCGGCACCGCAGTAACATTCACATGGACAAGTCCCGGCCCTTTCAGTGCAGGTACTGCGTCAAAAGCTTTTCCCAGAACTCTGACCTCCTCCGCCACCAGCGCCTACACATGAAGCGCCGGTCCAAGCAGGCTCTGAACTCTTACTGAGCCGGGGGCTTAGCACATATTTTTTGCGAGCAGCTCCAGCGTGGGTGGAGTGTATCCCACTTGTGCTTGGCACTGCCCAGTTTCAGACTCCTCCCCAGGACAGAGACCACGTCCTCCTGACCTTTAACTCTCAGGTAGAAACGAGATAGTGGCCAGTTAAGTATTTGCTCCAGGAGAGTGTGTCAGCACCAGCTTTGACTTGCCCGGTGTTTCGGGTCTAAGAGAACCCTGTTCAGGGTTTCCCACGTGGTGGAGGGACTAGGGTGCCCCCTACCACAGGGAACCTTTGAGGGGTCTGTTCCTTGCCAACTTGCAGTACACTCCCTTCCCGCCCCATCTGAATTCCTACCCAATCCTGAAGTCTGGAGGTAATTTCTCCCTACCTGATAGCAGGAAGCTGCAGGTGGGGTGATGGGTTAGGAGGAAGGTGGGGCTGGACCTCTTGGCACAAGGGCAGCAGGGCCAAGCACACCAAGCCATGTCCCGTCATCAGAAGTCTGTGTCCCAGGCACCATCTGGTCCATGAGAACACCTCAGAATTATCAGATGGCCCTTCCAGGCTCAGAAGCCTTTGTGGGAGACTATAGCTTGCCAAAAGGGAACTCTTTCTTTTATGGTGGTGACTGGTTATTGGGAATTGTGAGCTCATTCAAGGCAAAACCCACATTAAGCCCACATTTTAATTTGTTTCTTGGCACACACTACAAAGAAAGTGTCCTTTCTTTGTACCCTGAAGGTCCTTGGTATACTTGGCTGTGGGATAGAAGTGACAGCATCATCATTTGAAAGGCGCTTAACTTTCCCTTCCCCATTGTATCATGTCTAGGAAAGGAGAGCTCAGGTCCCGTAAAGGAGAGCTCAGGTCCCATGAATGAGAAGTTGTTTTGTCTGGATGAGCTGAGCAGGAGAAACAGAACCTTTGATGAAGTCATTCTATATATATATATAAACTTCATGTGCCAGTTGTATTAATTCCTTAAGGCTGCTGTAACAAATTACCAAAAGCTGGGTGGCTCAGAACAACAGAAATTCATCATCTCAGTTCTGGAGGCCTGGAATCCAAGATTAAGGTGTCAGCAAGGTTGGATTCTTGTAAAGGAAGGATCTGTTCCTTGCCTCTCCTTTAGCTTCAGTGATTGCTGACAATTGTTGATGTTCTTTGTCTTGTCGAAGCATCACCCCACCTCCTCCTTGTCTTTACATGGTGTTCCTGTGTATGTGTCTGTCTCTAAATTTCCCCTTTTTATAAAGATAGCAGTCATATGGAGTAGGGCCTGCCCTATTGATTCCAGACTGTTCTCATCTTAATTATATCTGCAATGACCTTATTTCCAAATAAGGTCACATTCTGAGGTACTGGGGTTAGGACTTCAATATGAATTGGGGGGATGGGAAGACAATTTAACCCACAACACTAGATAATCCTGAGGTTCTGCTGATATTTCTCGTTCTTAGATGAATTAGTGCAAAGTTGATTTAGCTTACTCTGAGTTCCATTGGAAGCAGAACTCAGATTCAAGCTTCTGTTCCCAGGGTGGGGGATCCTCTGCAGGATACCCTTTAAAGTTCATCACCTGGGGTTCTGGACTGGGAGTGACACTGGTAGTGAAGCCTCAAGCAATGAAAACCATCGTCTTGATCCTGAAAGACTGGTCAGATTGGCTCAGCTCAGTGATGAAAAAGCATGGAAGCTGTGGTATATTGGTGGCTGAGTCAGAAAGCCGGCCACCAGGCCTGTGTTTTATATTTATATGTCAGGTCCCATTAGCAGACAGTAAGGCCGGGCAAATGAATGCAAGACCCTTTGCTCTTTGTCACTTCATTATCACATCAAGAGGTAACAAACCCAATGAAATAGTTACAGTTTATAGTTATGATTACTGTGCCTGTATAGATGCATCTATATACCCAGGAACAGTAAATACAATAAAATAATTTGGTTATACCCTGAACAAAAAATAAACTGTTGGGGCTCTTTGTTTTCTAAATAGTTTGCCTCTTGGGTTGACCTTGCCAGAAAAGAGGAAAACATGTATCTTGAAGGACAAGGGAGGAGAAAATTTCAAATAAAGGCCAGATTCTGTGAACATTTGCCCTACCCACCTATGCACTCTTGCCCAACAATTCCATTAAGGGAGAAAGTTATGAACTCACCCACTTTAGATATTTGTATAAAAGAAGAAAACTGTTCTGTTTAGTATATTTTATCTGTAAAATCAGATCATAAGTAAGACAAAAGGGGATGTAACAGAATTGAAACCTATGGGGAGGCTATGCATCTGATCAGTACCCACCAAATATTGTGAGGGAGTATCAAATTCACTGATGCAAACCTGACCAAGGTACCTAGCTAATCAGAAGTTCACCTTCCCCCTGGATTCAGAAGCCCCTCTGGGTGGTGCAACTCAAATCCCAGGTTCTTCCCATGCAGAGGAACCATTGGGTTCTGGAAAAAGCTTCTCCAGAAGATAGAACTGATCCACTTCATCCTTCCTACCCTCCCTTCCTGGGTGGCTGGGCAGACAGATGAGCTGTGTGTGTACCTTCCCATGGATGTTCAGAGACCCCACATCCAAAAAGCATCTGTCCTCCCTCTTCCTCTGATTCCTTGGCATTGTTCCCATAAATTCACAGGTGCAAAATAAAAATTTGACTTACTGAATTAATATTCGTGTTTGACTTTTCATTTTAGTTAGAAGAGTATGAGTAGCACAGCTGAGAGTCAATCAGTCGGCCTGACAAAGAGAACTGGAGGGCTTCCCTGGTGTCTCAGTGGTAAAGAGTCCGCCTGCCAGCGCAGGAGTCTCAGGTTCAGTCTCTGATCTGGGAAGATCCCACATGCCACAGAGCAACTAAGCCAGTGCGCCGCAGCTGCTAAGCCTGTGCTCTGGAGCTCATGCTCCACAGTAGGAGAAGCCACCACAATGAGGACCCTGTGCACCACCACTAGAGAGTAGCTCCTGCTCGCCACAACCAGAGAAAGCCTATGTGAAGCAAGGAAAACCCAGCACAGCGAAATGCATTCAATTTTTAGAAACGAACTTGAAGTGGGAAGATGCTGAAAATAGCCCTTCTGGATGTCAGACGTCACCTTATAAAACTTTTAGGCCTCAGGTAGTTGTGGTCACCTGATCTGATCACCTTTCTTTTTAGAAGAGAGAGGAAGTAATGGCCTTTTTTTTTTTTTTAATATTTTGTCTATACACACACACACACACACACACATATATATATATATATATTTGACTGCACCAGGTCTTAGTTGTGGCATGTGGGATCTTTCTGGCATGCAGGATCTTTAGTTGCAACATGTAAACTCTTAGTTGTGGCATGTGGGATCAAACCTGGGCCATGGAATCTTAGCCACTGGACCACTAGGGAAATCCCAGTAACCAGGGACAGGATTAGGATACGCTCCTGATCACACCATAGCTGTTAGCTGTTTCACCCAACCTTAGCCATTTTCATACAACCCGAACTCCCCTTTCATTAAAATCTTCTGTATTGCCCTCCCCCACCGCCTCTTTGGAGCAGTCTCAGAGCTACCTGAGGTGCTGTCCCCCAGGCTGCAGTCCTCATTTTGCCCCCAAATAAAACTTACCTCGAAACTCTCAAGTTGCGCATCCTTTTTATCGACAAACTCTTGATACAAGTGGAAGAGAAGGCACAAGTCTGTGCCAATCTTAGACTTGGAGATTGGTCCTGGTTGCTTTTCTCCCATGAGATAGTTTCTGTCCTCTACCAAAAGCAGAGTTTTGATCAGGCACAAACACTGCTGCTTGCAGTGTAATGCAGGGAATTTGATGACATTTATGTCACCTCTGCCCCCCACCCCCACCCCCACACACACCCCGTTCCATCAAACAAGCCCAGGTGTTTTTTCTGTTAGCAAAAGTTGATGCTGTTTTATAAGTAATAGTCAGTGCCTACCAGTGCTCCAATGCAAACAAGTCTACAGATTAGGTAGCATGTGTAAGACATCTTGGCCAGGAAATGAGTATCGGGATTAATTTTGGATGACCAGGCTCTCCTGCTGCCTCGCCCCACATCTAAGGCATCCAGCATCTGCTGGCTGGTTATTAAGGGTCATAAGTTCATCAAGTACAAAGCCCTGGGTTCCATCCAAACCTACTTTGACCATTCCATACAGACTGGGAATTTTATCCTGTAAACCATAGTCAACAACCAAGGTACCATGATTAATGTGCATATAATCACCAAGGTACATTGCAGTGTTATCAGTTCCCCATAAAAAATGCAGATGAAATGGAGGACCAGATTCATATGTAAGTGGGAAGGGCCAGGCTTCCCTTGTGCATCTAGGCTGTAGCCAAGAATATTGAAATGGGAATCCAAGTTCTTGTTCTCAGAGCTAAAGAAAGAACTTCGCAAACACTCAAGGTAGCAAGCAGACAGAATTTATTTCAGAGAGAAGACAAGTACAAAACTCTCAACATAGACATTGAGAGGGGGTGAAGTGTCCCCTGAAAGCATTATCTGTAGTAGTTTATATTCTTACTAGTATTAATCTATATGTCTCTGGTTGGCTCTTACCCTTAGCATATGTCATTTTTAACCAATCAACTTAAAGGTCACAATTTTTATTGTAGCATTCCTTAGTTATCTTTTGATCCTCAGGTTTTAAGTTGTCTTAAGACATTTAGTTGCCAATGTGGCCCTTTTTTATGACCTCCAGACATTTTACAATGGACCAGATATATAAAGATTAATGATCACCGGTTGTTTTTCCCTCAGGCATGTGGAACAGAAGTTAATTACTCCCCTTTTCTGGATCTGAGTGCTGATAATTTATCAGACCCAGAACACATTCCTCTGAGAGCCAGGAATTTGGGACAAAGGATATAATTTTAGGTTAATGGAGTGGGATGTTTATTGAAATAGGCTAAGATCTCAGAGTTCCTACACTAACTGCCTAACAATTTCTACCTCAATATTACAGGAAGGTTGGTAACCCTCACAAGTCAAAGGACTATACTCTTAGCATGTAAGTAAATGGCAGGGGATTGCCATTTTTCCATCACTCACTAAAAAAAAAAAAAAATTTTTTTTTGGTACAGTTGTGTCTACACTAGCCTATTATATACAGGTCTTGCTACATCTTGTCAAAATATAAAGCGGCCAGGATACCTGCCCTGAAAATGTCACAGGTCAGAAAAGGTGCAGATTTAATAGCTGGGGTAAATTGATCCTATCCAAATCAAGCTGCATCCCCTTTGAAGGTGTCTGTGTGCTCAGAAGAGATGGGAGCCTGCTTCCAGTCCATCTAAGGTAAATTCAAAACGAGATTTCTATGTATTTTTAAGTGTTTTCTAAGTATTTTTAAGGAAGAAGATCTGGGTGGAAAAGTGTGTAAACTCATGGGAATCACACCTACAGTTTGCATCTTCACCACACTTTAAGTTGTCAAGTTGCAGATAGGGGGAGTGGGGTATGGGGTTGCAGAGTGGCTGGACCAGATTTTATCTTGGACTCCCTTTGTTGCCACTCATATTTTTCTAAAATGGCTTGCCTAATCTCAAGATGATATTCTGGAGTCACGATCTGAAAACTTCACTAGCAATTTCCTTTAATCATCTGCTCGAGAAGCCAAAAGTCTAACCAGATGTGCACTCACCAAATTTATAGAGGCAGAGCCAGGTGTTCCAGCAAAGATGGCTACTGAAACAAGAGAGCCAAGGGCCCCAGCATCCTTAAAGCTCTCTCCCATACCTTTGGAGAGTTTCATGTAGTTACCTTTGGTGACAACACATAACTTTCGCTTGGGCACACTCTCTGTCCTTTAAGAAAGTGCCAAGAAGCAGGTAGGCAGTGTTGGAGTTCAGAGAGGGTGGCATAGATCCACACTGTAGTTGGGAAAGAGAAGTGGGCAGATACCTAGTGCATTCTCTCAATGCTTTCTCCATTGCTAATCACCACCAGCAGAAATCTCATTGAGTTTATCTGTCTACTCTGTCAGCTCAGTATCTGATACAGAGTAGGGTACTGATAATGTGCAACATGCACCTTGTCACTTCTGCCCTCCTAAGAGAGACTGGACTCCTGTTGGACTCCTGAAAACCAGCTTGGGTCGAGATGCTGAGAAGAACCTGCTGCTATCCTGACACCACTTCTCTTGACACCAACTGGGTGGGTGTCCACTGTGGACAGGGAATATCGCCTATCATTCCAGTAAACAAGGATCAAGCCACCAGTCACGGTAGCCCTACCATCCCCACCCACTACTCTCCTGACTGCGTCCTGAGGGGAATTCGTGAGAGAGAAAGTCAGGAAGCATTGTGTGCTATGCATACTGGCCCTATATAATCAAGATGCATATCTAAAGAATAATTTCTTCTTTTCTTACAGAAAAGCACTAAAATCATTAAGTTGAGATGTCATTTTGTGATTAGCAGTAATAATGCAGTTACTCTCCCACTAGGATGGACAATCTGAGAACATGGAACACAAGATTTTTGTTTTATTCACTTTTTTGGGTGGAGTAGAGGTTTTTTGTTGTTTTTTTTTTTTTTTTTTTTTTTGAACTGAATTTTAAGAGGCAGGGAGAAGCAAATAATTTTTTTGCAAATTTTCATGGTCACCTGGAAAGAGAGGTCTAAGACTGAGGCTTATACGAAGCCAGACAGCTTCCTCCTCCCTGATCAGATCTCCTTCTGCTTTGGCTTCAGGGAAGGGCCCTCCAGGGGATATCAGTGCTGGGATATCAGCTCTGGGACATCAGTCCAAGTGCTGCTCCCTCCCCACCTCCTCCTCTGTGTTTGGATCACAGGATGTGGCTGAAGAAGCCAGAACCACACCCCTGGTTGAGTTTCAGGCTCTAGATAGCAAGGGTGTAGTTGAAATCAAGCAGGACTCTGCGAGGCCCTCCTAGGTACAAAAGCCTTTCCATGTCCTCGATTTCTTTTTTGTAGGAAATAGGCTTCATTCATCCTGGAATGTGAAGTCTAGTGGGCCTTAGGAAAAATCACTATGAACAAAGTTAGTGGAGGTGACAGAATTCCAGTTCAATTCAGTTCAGTTCAGTCGCTCAGTCATGTCTGACTCTCTGCGACCCCATGAACCGCAGCATGCCAGGCCTCCCTGTCCATCACCAACTCCCGGAGTCCACCCAAACCCATGTCCATTGACTCAGTGATGCCATCCAAACATCTTATCCTCTGTCGTTCCCTTCTCCTGCCCTCAATCTTTCCCAGCATCATGGTCTTTTCCAAGGAGTCAGTTCGCATCAGGTGGCCAAAGTATTGGAGTTTCAGCTTCAGCATNTTCTAACTGTTGCTTCTTGACCTTCATACAGATTTCTCAGGAGGTAGGTCAGGTGGTCTGGTATTCTCATCTCTTGAAGAATTTTCCACAGTTTGTTGTGATTCACACAGTCAAAGGCTTTGGCATAGTCAATAAAGAAGAAGTAGATGTTTTTCTGGAACTCTCTTGTTTTTTCAATGATCCATCGGATGTTGGCAATTTGATCTCTGGTTCTTCTGCCTTTTCTAAATCCAGCTTGAACATCTGGAAATTCTCAGTTTACACAGTGTTGAAGCCTGGCTTGGAGAATTTTGAGCATTCTTTGCTAGCATGTGAGGTGAGTGCAATTGTGTAGTAGTTTGAACTGTCTTTTTGTTTGAACATAAACTTTGCTTAGTAACAAAGT